GTCAAGCCCCTCCCAGCGGTGGGCCCAGCCCCAGGTGCCCCGGCCTAGTGCTGGGTGGGGTGCAAAGTTTCAGGTCCCCCGTTAAGCCTTCCCGGGCAGGGGTCGCAGCCTCTGGTCCCCCGGCCCAGCCCCGGGGTGAGGGGCAAGGCCTAAGGTCCCCTGTTAAGTCCTGTCGTTCAGGGGGCGCGGCCTGAGGTCACGGTCAAGCCCTGCAGGGCGGGGACCACATCCTGAGGTCCCTCACCTCAGCCAGGCGCCACCCAGCCTTGAGTCCCTGCTGTTCAGTTGTGATGTTATGGTGTCCCGGCTAATTTCCATATTCCTCTATTATATAGATAGAACTCTCCTTTCACATTGTAACTTGAGCAAACAGCATTTTATTTGTAAAAAATGGTGCACATCAAATAATACCTAGATTATAAAAAAAAGTTTATATGAGATTTAAAAGATAAAGTAAAGATTACTCACCACACAATGTCTTAGGACAATATCTTTCAGGTATATTAGCAGCTGGTGCTCTCTTAAAGTTGAGTAAACTAGAGAAAGCTGATGAATTGGATTGTAGATGCTTCAGTGTGACTTATATGTAGGTCTTCCTCTCAGCAAAAGAAGCTTTTATGTTGTTACAGATGGTATCACTCCCAATTCTCTGGATCACAAGTATAGGACAGAACAACAGACAACCCCATTGGGTGGTGCCCATTCCTCTTAAGATTTAGATCATTAGATATTAATAGTAACACAGTATGTGGCTGGGAAAAAGAATTATGCAAAGATTTCTAAAAATTTTAAATTGCAATTCTGAATTCTGACTGGGTTAATGAATTTGTATTATTAAAAAGGACTGACTTCAATGATTTATGGTGAAGTCATCATTTTAAGTAAAACATCATCATTGAAAATAAAAACTGAAAATAAGTATATGTTTATAACCATATTATTGATACAGTTATTATGAGGATTATAATGAATCATATTATGTTATTCTTACTTTACAAGCCATTTTCAATAATCCACATCTGTCCTGGTCATCTTTTAAAATAATAGATATAGTGCTTTTCTTAAACGTGTTAAAAATATTTTGAGAAAATGCTCTTAGTATATAATGAATTTTAAGGACTTCAAAAGTGAAATAATTTAAACCCTTATATAACTTACATTTTATTCATGCATTTAATTTGCAATTAAAACATTTGATAAGCACTAACTCAGGGGTGGGCAACCCTGGCACACGTGCCAAACATGGCACACCAGTAACTTTTGCTGGCACGCAAAACCCTCTCTTATAATCTTCCATTTACAATTTTTTTCTTAATATCAACTTTTTTATTTTTCAGATAAATTCAGTGTAGGTGCATTTTAGATAAATAAATAATTTTACA